GTGACATCTGGGTCGGTCTATTCACACTCTCAGCATTCTCTCTGCCCCAACAAACACTCAGCCATTTTTGCTTGGATAAGGGGAATTTTTTTTAGTTACATCAATTATATGTGTATCAACATTTATGGCAGCAAGATAATTGCCAAAGAACTGAGAGGATAAAAGGTCTTTCTTCATAACGTCCACCCTTACCAGTTATAAAATCAATATTAACATCAAGCAGGACAGTGGCAGATTCTTCCACTGCTGCTGAATCCTTAAAGTAGGAAATGTGTTCTTTAGAAGACACTCCTCAGAACTCGAGGGTTAAGAAAAGGTTCAGCATCGAGTTCTGAATCCATATCCCAGTGGGTCATGTGTGTATGTGGATAGCAGGCCTTTTTGTCCTTGTAACCTTTGCTAAATAACTGCAAGGCAGCAAATCTGCTCTATATTTAATGAGTCCTCTGGAAATATGCCAGTCCAATTTCAAAGAGTTTAGATCCCGTTATCTGTAGACCAGCCCAGTGATTAGGAGGCCTGCCATCAATAGGCCCCAAGAGGGCTGGATTAGGGGTACTGGACAAGAGGCACTCTGGGCTGCCTCTCAGCCTCCTTGTCTATAACTCGAGGTTAGAAGTTCACACTTGCAAATACACAAGGGGGGGGCACTTCCCACTTTAATATTGTTTTGATTGGCCTTCTGCCACATTAATTCCCCCCTTTTCAATGTCTCTTAAAATCTTAGCCCCATTTCTTTATCTATCTTACTGTTTTCCCCAATGGCAAGGCTGAACTTGATGCTTCATTTTCCCAGAAAATGACCATTTTTGTTCACAGATCCTAATACTTTAGAAACTCGGAGGGAATCAGATTCAGGGGCTAAAGGGGGAATGCAAGGAGGGAGGACAAGCTTACCCGTGATCCCTCTGTTAATTAATAGAAGTTTTTAGAAAGAAAAGAATGTTACCCAGTTTCTAGTCAAATTATCTGATCAACCATCTACTGTCTCAGGGAAAGAAAAATCAGAATCACTGAAATTGAAAATGGTTACTACATATGCAAAGCCCCTTTAAAAAGTAGGCTTACTTCTGCCAGGAGAACCACTTGGTTACGATCAATTTTTGTTCTTCCCATAACCCCAAACAGTAATGGAGTTCCTAAGCATGATTCACTATCAGGTGCATTTTAAGCCTTTAGCGAGGGGGAGAAAAGATTAAATTGCTGCTGGGTTTAAAAATGCCTTTTCTTCACTGAAAAGGATTGGCAACAGCAAACCTTCTATCTTAACAGGCAATGAATGTGTAACCCCCCCCCCCAACTCCAGCAACAGGCTATTTCCTGGTTCAGTTTAAAAATTCAATGACGTTCCTGTTTCAACCCACACATCTGTGTCACTGTCAGCGTCAGTGGCAGGAAAACAGACAAAGTCACCCTTTGCTAATGATTTCCTAACATGGAATTTCCTTGTGTCTTCTAAAGCCTTTCTTCCAACGCCAAACTGCCCCCCCCCCCCCACACACACACACATTGTACTGAAGAAAAAACTGAAAATGGTCCTCGCCGGAAGAGAATGGTTTTAATGGAGATCTCGTAAGGAAGCCCTTCAACTCTTAAGATGTTTTTAAAGGGAGACTAGGGGCAGCACTGCTGGTGTTCCTAACAGCAGCAGCTCATCCCTTTCTTCCCCTTCCCTGATTCCCAAGTTCTACTGTGAGCATCATTCTCATAAATACTAGAGGAAACAGGCACAAGCTGGACACAGGTAGAGCTAGAGAGCAAGACAAGCTCCCCGAGCAGCAAAAACACAAGAGATCTGTGAAAGCACAAAACAATATAGAATCCCATCACTTTTCCCCTCTGGAGAACATCCTATTTAATATGCTACTGGTCATCAACGGAAAAGAGGGCTGTTACTTTAAGGGGAAAAAGCTGATTAGCTGCTCTAGCTGGCAGCAAACAGCTGTCCGGCAGGTTCAAGGCCATTTCAGCTCCTCTCTTCTGGAGGTACCATATGTTCCATCTCACACATCAGCACATTTATTTTCCAATGATCTTGCTCCAGAAGAAATGCACAAAAGGAGGAGAAAGTAGAACCAACAGTTCACCCTTTGATTACTTTCTTATGATTTTAGATGTAACTGGGATGTGTGTGTGCGTGTGGGGGGGGTACCACTTCACCTACTACTCTATAGACCAAAAAATGTTCAGACAACACACTTAGTGCTATAGGGGTGGAGCGGGAGAAAGACGTAGAAAGGAATGCATCTGCAGGCGCTTGTACTCACAAAGACTTCAACACCAGATTAAGGGGGTACCGGGAAGGGTGGAAGCAAGGAGGGACCGAGAGGAGTAGGATTACTCTAGAGACTACCAGTTTGAGTTAGGTCCCACCCCTTCTTATTTGTCACCTTTTGTTCTTATCAGTAACCTTATCTTCCCTGAGGAACTTAGTTCTTTTGGAGAAGCCCTGAGGAGCGGGCTGACAGGATGTGAAAGGTTACTTGTAACATCAGGCTTAACCTCCCACGTGGCAAGCCTGGTTTTATCCCAAGTTAGGTGGGTGGGGGGAAGCAGGTGGAAGGAACACAGCCCATAAATCCTCAGTCCAGCTAAAAACTTGATGCCGGTGCATTTTGGACACCCCTTGTTGCCAGACCCTGTGTTTGTATAGAGGCAACTGGCCAATGCGTGGTCCCTGGCAGCTTCTGCGTTCACTTACAGTTCCAGACTACCCTAGAGGTGGCCGCGGCTACTCACTTTTCATGCCTCAAACAAAGGGCACCCTCGGAGAGTTTCAATCCTGTGGAGTGTGTGTGTGGGGGGGGGGGGGATACGATAGTAGGGAGCAGGAAAGAAGAGGAATATAACTAGACTACAAGGTGGTCAAAGTCTCAAACCATTACCAGTGCCTCTGCTGCCTACAGGCTCAGCAGCCACCCTAGGTTGTTTTTTTTTTTTTTTTTTTGGCTGAGAGGGGCGCCCCAAAGTAAAGCGAAACCGAGGAAAGGGCGCCCCCTATGCCCAAGCCCTGTCATAACAGGGACCTGCAGCATTTGCCCACCCTGCTGAGCATTCGCCGCCTCCCTCCTAGCTCCTGCCTGCTCCCAGTACAGCAGGCCAGACAGTCTTAGCTGCATGAATTTAGGGTGTACAAGGCTGGCCGACCAAGTGCATAGAATACGTCAGGAACAAGAGCTTTCCGAGATTTCCCGGGCTCTTACAGAGGGTCCTCAAAATACACCCCCCCCCCATTGCCTACACTAGCCCTCCTGTCCCAAGCGGCTCGAAGCTACTTGGAGGGAGGCTGCCTCCCCCGCCCTCTGCCTCTGAGTCCCTTTCCCCTTCCCTCTCTCCAGCCTCCTGGGAAACAAAGGGGCTTTTTATAAAGCGGATTGTTGGCGGCGGCGGCGGCGGGGGTGGGAGGGAGGGGGGAATCTATAAAGACAAGAAGAGGTGGGAGGGAGGGAAGGAAAGAAGCTGCGCGGCCTCCAGGGGCCCTGAGCAGCGGTGGCAGCCGGGAAGCCCTGGTGGGTGCATGGTAGACCCCGCCCGGTCAGTGGGCACCAGAGCGAGAGCCTGCGCCTGCGAAGAAACTGGGCCGAGCCGCTGTGATGCTCCCATCCACCCACCGCAGGCAGGGAACAGGAGTAGCGGCCATGGCCCGGGGCCGATGGGGGAGACATGATTCCCGCGGGTGTCTTCTCTGGAAGACCCTGGCCCTCTCCCTAGCAAACTCTTTGAGAATTGCTGAGGCTTGAGGAGACTTTGCGTCTTTGTTACAGCACGACCTGCTCTCCTCGACTAGGCTCTCTCGCCCTCACAGACAATGTCCCAGAACCGGCCTTAGTCGGCTACCCGCAAAGGGAACATTTGGCTTGAGGACGGTACTCTAAGGGGTTCCTTCTGCTGCCAAATAACAAGGACAAGCTACCCCAGCAACTGGAATCCAATCTCCCCAGGTTCCCTAGACACTCCGTGCTCCTGCCCTTGCTCTCACACACCCACATTCGGGGTGCCCGACTCAGCCGCACCCAGCTGCAGGAGCCCAGCGGGGAGCGAATCCCCCAGATTGAGGCGCGTCTGTTTGCCCAGGTTCCAATGGCTTTAGGGCCGAGTTTTTCTGTGGGGTAATCCTATTAGTGTCCGCTCAGTCCGAATTTAATCACCGATCGAAATCAGACAGCACCGCTAGCTTTCCAGGCTTCATACTCACTGCATCAGGACGGAACCTGGCCAAACCAAGTGGCCAAGAAAAGTATTTGGCGGCGCTCCGGGGGGCTTCCCACCCGCCTTAGGCAGAGCCTGGCGCCTGTCTAGGCTGCAGAGAGAATGCCCGGGAGCTTGGAGCGCCAATTCCTGCGCAGGGGCTCTGGGAACGCTGGGTGGGAATCAGTAGGGGCTGCCTCGGGCCCCCAGTTTTGCTCCAGGCTGCTTTCATGAGGAGGAGTTGGCAAATGGGGTGGGGGAAGCGCAGGGCAACGCGCACACCCCACACTCTGTTCCGCGGCAGCAAATTGATTTGGGGCAGGGGTATTCCTCATCTAGTGCCCACTGCTGGACTCGGGGGCTGGCATGGAAAGACAGAATCTCTGATGGCACCTTGGGCAGTGAGCAAGCGGCCCAGGGGTGTGGGGATGGAGTGGGTGCTTCCTGCTAACCTAATGTAGCCCGTGGAGCCCGCGCAGCTTGCGCCCCTCTATACCTTTCCTCCTCGGAATGCAGCTGCCTCCGCCCAGTTTTGGACTCCCTCTGGGGCCCCTAAAAGAAGGCAGAGACCAAAGACCCTGGACGTTGAGACCTGCGCTCACCCCAGTTAGGCCAGTCCGAGAGGGGGGCGGCCAACCCCCAGCGCCAGGTGGGCCGTGTGCTCAGAGCAAACTTTGGGGTCTCCCATCTCACAGCATCCCGGGGCCCCGGATCCTCAAAGATAGAGACTATAAGCGGGGGCTATAAGTGCACTCTGGAGCCCCCCCCCCCACCCTAGTAGTCGGACCTCCCGCATCTGCCTTCACCCTTACCGTGTTGCGGAGCTCCAGCAGCAGCCAGGACAGAGTCGGAGGGGCGGGCAGCCGCCGGCACAGGCAGCCTTCCCCCAGGCGCCCGCCGAATGGCCCAGCCGGATTGAAGATCACCCCCTGGCTAGCGGCCGGTGCCCCCGCGCCCGCCCGCTGCCCGCCGCTTCAGCTCGCAGCCAAGTTCATGCTGGCGGCGCTGCAGTGGCGGCCTCAATCTGCTCGCTCCATTCCCACCGCCCGGCTCGCGCCGCGCGCCCGGAAGGTGGAGTTTCGGGGGGGTTTAAGTTACTGATAGGCATTTCTCACTGCTGTGTCACTCGGGGAGGAGGAGACACGCACGCCGCACACTCACACACCCTCACACTCACGGCGACGAGCAGCTCTGGTCTTAAAGGAGAAGCTGCGCTGCCCTGCCTGCGACCCCACCGGCCTCAAGCCTTAAAATGCAGGGTTTCCAGACCGGGATGTAGACACAAGCAAACTAAGAGCCGGTCGCTCAAGGGACTTCCCAAATCCTCTAGACACTTTTTAATGGGCGAAGGAACAGCGGGCTGGATTCGCAGTGGCAGCCTCATTTTTCCCTGGGGCAGCTAGGAGAGACTAGAGAAGTGGAAAGGGTGAGGGCATAGTTACCTCGAAGGCTCCTTAGGAGGTGAAGGGTGGCCTATACCAACGAAGTCAAGTGGCTGCACTGTGCGCTGATCGGGAGAAGCAATAGCGGGGTTAGAAAACAAGCCCAGTCATAAGAATGGGATGGGGCCACTCCAGGGCTATAGGAGACCCTGGGCCTAGAGGAAAAGTCACACGCCTCAGGTTAACTTTTCCAGTTAGTTTCAGAACAGAGCAAGTTGGTGGCTAGCGAGCATTATGGAAGGACAGAAGAGTGAGAGTGAGCCGAAAAGCCAGCACTCAACCGTGATAAGGTGAGAGAATGTTCCAGACTTAGCCTGAGAGATTGAAGACGAGGGTGAGAGACAGAAACCAAGAGAAAGCTGACAGAGAGAGGCAGACAGATGATGATGAAGTAAACAGAGAGGGAGACCCCTTCTCAATCTCAACACAGCTTGACTCCGAAGCCAGAGCTGCCGCTTCTCCCTCTTCCTTCAGGTAAGGGCGCTCACCTGCAGTAGGTAGCAGCTGCTCCGTGGCGGATGGCGCTGGTCTCACTCTGCAAGCAATGTGTCTGTAGGCTCATCAACAACTCATACCTGGATGATCAAACAAACCAGCCAGGAGTGATTCCAGTAGGGACCTAGGCTCCCAAGTGTCAGCCATTGACCTACACGCCTGTGCCCCACCCCACCCTCAGCGCGCAAGTGCGCACGCCTTCTCCCTCCTTGATGTCCCCCTCCTCACTCCCCCTTTCCCCCCGCCCCCCTCCTGTCTGTCCTCAGCTCAGAGGCTGATTGTTGTTCTCGCTGTGAGTAAGCTTATCCCGGAACTCAGGCACGCTGGCCATAGTCTCTCTGTTGCTGTCTCTTTCTCTGGGCCCAGGGCGAGCAAAGACCATGCTCAAGCTTGACTGGACTAGTTGTTTATGGAGGAGTTGATCACAGGACCAACACCTGTGGCTTTTGCAGTAGCCCCAGTTGCTTGTAAACTGCGTAGTGGGCCAGTGCCCCCCAACCCCCACCCCACCCCCCCACCCCCGGCGCCGAGGCTGGAGACCTCCATCTCTGTTCTCTGGTAGTGTGGGCTGACTCCCTTCTTCAGGGTACCCAACCCGGGCATGCGACTAACCTGAAAAATCCCTGGTGGCAGCGGCAGCAGCTGCTGCAGTAGCAGTGGCAGCAGGGGCTGAGCACCGCAGGGAAATGTCACTGATGACTCACTCCAACAGCTAGCGCTGGGCTTCTGCAGGTACCTCTAACTAGTAGCAATGCGCTCTTGTCTGCTTGTCCTAGGAAGTCCCAGGTCATGGCGGGGGGAGGGGGGCGTAGCCCACACAGTCCCCCCCCCTTTCATTTCCCTCCTTAGCTCTAGGATATAGGACAGTGGGTGTGGGGGGGGGGTAGACACATCTAGAACCAACCACGACAAAAATCTCCTGGTGGGCATCTTAGGTGCTACAAAGCTGAGTTCTCCCCCCTCAGCTTTTTTAAAGCTCTGTGGTGACCCAGCTCTTTTTGGGCACAAACTCAAGGCACGGATGCTGGATAAAGGAGGCAAGAACCATCCATGGGTCGGGGAGGGGGGAGTGTGCATGTCTCAGCCTGGCAGTTTGGTAGGAATACATTGGAGCAGGGCACAATCCTTTCTACTTTGGACCTGCAGCTGCCACCAGAGACTGTAGATTGCTAGGAGACCCCATCTAGGGTTCCTATGGCTGAGAGAGCTTGAGAGTCTCTTCAAGAATATCTGATTGAACAGAGTTAAAAGGAGTAGGATAGCCAACCACCCTGGAGCAGTGTTCATGGACTCTTATCATTTAAATGTGCACTAACCAAGAAAGGGGGAGATGGAGCTCTACTACTGGTGGTGTACCACTCAAGCCCCAAGCACTGCATCCTCCAGGAAGGCAGTGATGAGCATTCCTCCAGTGTCTTTGGAAGGAAGCACAGATCACAGCTGTGGACCTGGCCAAAAGCTAACTGCCTGGCAGTGCTAATTCAAAGGCCCCTAGCCATCTAATAGTACACGAGAATTTAGCCATCTGGGAGGGGGCTTTCTCTTCACTCCACTTAGCCAGGGCCCTGCTGGTCCCAGAGTTCAAGATCTCAAGGCAGTGTGCTTCTTTGACTTACCTAGGACCTCCTCCTTGGAGGCTTCAATAATTCTTCTTTTTCAGCCATACTCCTCATCCAGTCCCACAGAAATTCTGGCTTCAAAAAAAAAAAAAAAAGCATGGGCCCAATCTTCTCTGTGGATAACCTCTGCTTCCAGGCTCCTGCACCTCCTACTGGCTCACTCCAGGAGCAAGATTGGCCAGGGTCTTCCCTTCAGCAAACCCGTCTGCTTTCTACTGTGCAAAATGCTGTACTGACTCTGCACAAAAGTTGAGAAAGCGGAAGGGCTTCTGATGGCCAAGTGGGACAGAGCTCCCTGCCTCCTCCATCACCATAAATCACTCCACATGGGCCTCCTGGCCCATCTTCAACAGGCTAGGTCCTTCTCACCTTAGGTCCTTTGCACTAGCTCTTCCCCAGGGCTGGAATTCACTTCCCCCAGACAGGCCAGCTTCCTCATTTCCTTTAGTCTTGATATAAATGTCACCTGGCCACCCTGTGTAATGTTTCAAAGCCCTACGCCCATCTCTGGCACTTCCTTTCCCTTTCCCTTCTTTGTTTTCTCTCTAGAACTCAGCAGCAGCTGGCCTCTGTAACTTACATCCCAGGAGGGCAGCCCTGGGCCTGCTTTCTGCAGGCACCGCTGTGGTACCCACTCTGACTGGTGTGGCATCTCTGCTCAGTGACTGTTCATAGATTTTGTTCTTCCTGGAGCGTTCTAGGAAACTGGGGGAGGGGAGGCTGGCCACAGAATTGTGCATACCCTGGAAAAGGGAGATATAGCTGTCTTCATGTTTTCAGGAGCTCTATGACCTAAACAATTGTTAAGAAGGATGAAGGTCAGGCAAAGAGCTTGGTGTTAACACCATGGAACCAGCCTTAGGTCATGTGATCAAGGGTCACTGTAGCCCAGATATCTTACGAGACTGTCTTAAAAGTAACCAGACTGTCTTACAAGTAATCAGAGAGGCACAGTGAGGGCTCCTATCAGTTACTGCTGGAAACATGGATTTCTTGTGCTTACTGGAAACATGAATTCACCCTGGTTGTCATAGAGGGCACTTCCAAGGTTGATAAAGCAGGGGAGGGGAAGGGTTTCTCTTCACTGAATAGAAGGGTGGAGCTACCCAGGGTTCTTTAGTTACCTAAGTTGTAAGCTAACAGCATATTTCCCTCCGTTTTCCTAGATACTTTCCTTTACCTGCAGGAATATGTGTACCCGGTTCTAGATAATGGAAGGTAAAGGCATGTGTTCAGTGGCTCATACCTTAAAGTAGCAGAACACTAAGAAACTGAGTCTCAAAGCTTGGTGTATAGCCGCCTACTTAGTGGATACAGCCCTGGCTTGTGGGTAAAGCCAAAGAAAGGAATCCTATCAAGGTCTCAAGGAACTGAGCCCCTACCCCCAGGAAGCTCCTGGCTCTGCTCCTGAGAGGCTGTCAAAGGGTCGAGGATGAGATGGTGGAGTCCAGGGGCACTATGCCAAGGCTTATATAGGCCCTGCCTTTGGTCTGACCCAAACCTGGACCTTCATGGATTTGAAAATAATCAGCAGCCACCTGCTATTCAATCATATTCCTGTGAGCATATGCCAAGTGTTTGAAAGTTCGCACGACAAACGGTGGGGGGAGGGCTTAACTGGGTAGCCTCTGGAATTCTGGGGTTCTGCCCAGGTAGAGACCAGGGAGGAGTCACGTTTTGACTAAAAATCAGAAAGCATACCCAGTTGTTCTCTTCATCAGCACTCCCTGCTGGCTCCCTGCTGCTGATAGCACTAAATCCAAACGGGACCATCTCCATAGCCTCACATTTCTCGTTGAAAATGAAGTCCTGACAATAGTTTCTGCCTTGTTTTGGTATTGCAAGGTTGCAGTTCCCTCATATTTGTGGACCACACTTGGCAAGGTACTCAGCTGTTAGGATTTAAAGAGAATGGTTTGAATGCTTGCTCCCTAACTGGTGGTGGAAACTTTCGGGGGTCTGATCTGGGTAGAGGAAGTAGGCCACTGTGGAAAGGCTGTTAGAAAACTAGTATCCCTAGTTGCTTCTTGACTCTCCCTGGCCTCTGGTAAGCCAAAAAGTGAATATCTCTCCTCTGCCACTCATTCCCTCTGCCTTGAGGTCCTGCCAAGCTCACTGGGACAAACAACCATGGAGAGGATTAACCTTAAAAAACAGTCTCATAAGTTGTTTCTGTCACACATTTTATCACAGTAACATGAAAGGGACGAAGACACTGCTCCATAAATTTCTAGCCCTTAAATAAGAGGGTGCTCTTGTGATTATTATACCAAACGCTCATATAGACATGAGGCTGGTGTTGAATATAACAAAATGCAGTGCATTCAAGTGACAACCCAGGCTCTTCATGTCAGTCCAAACCCCCTCTGTTGTCTGACTTCTTTGAAAGTGCCCTGGATGTCTGGTAAATGGTGAGACTGTGTCAGGTAAGAAGGCAGAATCTGGCACTATGGAGGACATCAGGAATTATGCCTTGGTACGGTAGAAGGAAGTCCCTAGGAAACAAATTGAACTCTCTCTCTCTCTCTTCCCTGAG